TTCATGAGATGCTGGAAGTAGACACCAGTCTAGAGAGCCAAGTGGTCTAAACTGCAGCTCATGAGCTCATGAGCTTTGACTCTGTAGTGGATTCAGCAGAGACCTCATGAGAGAACCCAAGACATCTTCGGAAGCACTTACAATCTGCAAAACACAAGGCTATTTCCATGAAGCTTACAAGTAATCACTTCTTGCTAATGCAAGAAATTCCAGAAACAGATTAGAAAAAATTACTTAAGACACTAACTTATATTTTAAAAAGGACTCTGCTTCCAATGCCATTCATTAGAGAAAAAAAAAAAAAAAAAAAAAAAAGAAAACATGCAGTCATGGATTCATGCTCCAGCAAATCATCAGTAACACAGTTAAGTGTCTGGAAAGAGAGAGAACTCAACACCAAGGGGAGAAATGTATGATGGAGATGGGAAAAAAAAACAATGCCACTGTAAACTGCAAGCCTTAGTCTCTTCTTGTCCCTACAGGTTAAAATTAAGAGCAACCAGAATGATGTTGAAGGATATGAACACTCTCCAAAACATAAAAAAAATAAAAAATAAATAAGACTTTGAGGTCTCTAAAGACTGATATAGACAATTACATTTAAATTGTATTCCACAGCAGACGAGTTCCATAGTTTCTTCCAAAAAGTCTAAAGAAATGTCAGTCTCAGGAAGCAGGGCACATTTCTCTGGATGGTCTGCTCTCCAGACCATATCATGCACTTGATCTGAAAGACAAATCTCTTTAGAGGAGTTCATCAAGGGGAAAGTGCACAAAAATAATTTGTCCATTTACAAACACTCAGCTGAAGTATTTATATACAGAACGTAATTCTCCTCACTACAGATGAAAATGTCTTGGAACTGACTGCGCTCTGCTCAAATTCAATTCTAAGATGCAATAATGCCCTACCTAAAGTAAGTAAATTGGACATGAAGCACACAGGACTGAAAATGTGACTCACACTGTCTTACACAGCACAGTAACAGATATGTACAGTTGTGTAAAAAAATCAGTAAAAAAAACCATAAAACATGCTAAAAAGAAAACTTTTTGCGGAAATTAAATCAAAACAGTGGAGCAATGAAGACACTATGAAGTGAATGGCCCACTATGCACTACCTAAGATTGTCCAGCAGGTCACTTGCAGGAATCCCAATTGTTGGGCTATCTCTTCATTATCTTTCCCAGATTTCCCAAAGACAAGGAGTCACACTAGTGAGTAGAAAGTCAACAAGAAATAGTAGAAACACACTTCAAAAATGGAAATCACACTGCTCATGAGAGAAAACTGGTACTTCCAAGTGTCTTAATTTCAGAATGTACAGGTGACTCTACTGGAGGGTTGAGGTAGGTGATCTACTTTATTCAGCACAGGTGAAGCCACACTTTGAGTGTGGCTAGTGCTGGGTTCTTCACTACAGGGGAGACCTGAAAATACTGCAGAGAGTCCAGACAAAGGCCATGAAGATAGTGATGGGGATACATCTCCCACAAATAAAGTTTGAGAGAGCTGTGACTGTTCAGCTCTCACTTCTGGAGAACAGAAGGCTTAAGAAGACTTTATCAATGCAAAGCATCCAAAGCCAGCATGCAAAAAGAATAAAGTCTCTTTATGTTCACTTGGTTACAATTCAGAGTTCCCTCTGGTTCTGAGCAAAACACATGGTAATTTTGCCAGAGTGGAATGGGAGTGGGTTTAGAGTCCTTACACAGCCTCCCTGTGTGTTCCTCCACCCTGGTGTTATGTAAGAAACTGAGCTAAATTGTAAATATTACACAATCTCAGAAAGGGAAGGGACTAGTAAAATATCTCCACGACTCCTTCATGCTGACTCACCCCTTCCTTTCCACTTAAGGTTATTACCCACATTTAGGAGTATAAAGATACGCCTGGAATGGTCATTCCTTGTCTCTTAAGCATACTCTAGGCACAGTGAGATATTTCACAGTGTGAACGGGACATCACATAGAGCCTGGAGACAGACTTTTCAGCATGGCCTGTTGCAATAGGACACAGGGTAACGGTTTTCAACTGAAAGAGTGTAGATTTAGACAAGAAATAAGGAAGAAACGTTTTACAATGAGGGTGTGAGACACTGGAACAGGTTGCCCAGAGAGCTGGTAGATGCCCTATTCCTGGGAACATTCAACATCTCTGAGCTGGATGGAGCTCTGAGCAACCTGATCTAGTTGAAGATGTCCTTGCTTATTGCAGAGGGGGTTGGACTAGGTGGCCTTTAGAGGTCCCTTCCAATCAAAGTATTCTATGATTCTAAGCAGGACAACAGTGCCAGGAAGAAGACTGCAGTCTTCCCCCCCAGCTCTGCTGCAGTCATTGCTGCAGTTGCACTTCCACTACCTGAAGCCACACACACATTTCATCAATTTCTTGCTGTGGATTGAAGCCCCCCAGCCCATCACTAACCTAGAAAAATAGCCCAGGGATTATAGCAATTCAACAAAAGAAGCTGCAGTAGTGTTCCAGCTTGCTTGGTAACTACAAGTAGGTCAGATGGGAGTGGGAAATGACTGAATTAAGCTTTTGCCTACACATCCTACAAGCATTGTCCCACAGCTGGCATCAAAATAAATGACAAAAAAGCTTTCTAAGCAGGACATCAGCATATTCTCTGACCCAGAAGGACATGTGGAAATGTGTCCCCTGCTTAGGCTGGGTAAAAAGATTATGATAGATCTAGACACTTAGAATCCTCATTACGCTGTAGAAGTCATTACCCAATGACAGCCTTTCTCCAATAGAGTTAATGAGTTAATCTTGTAGCAAAATGTGCTTATGGCAACACAGTGATAACTTCATATCTTGTAATAGTAAGAACATATATGTGATCTTGAAGGATATGCTGCTATGCTGAAGGATATCACCGCACTAAAAGTGTAAAATATTGGGCGTGAACAGAAATTGCCTGGTCTAGTATTAGTTACCTAAAATACAATGCATTGTGCATGAGTGGAAATTGCTAATTTTAATGTTAGATATTTAATACATGGTTGTGAAATTTATACAAACTGTAATTTAACAGCTAAAATTATATATTGAAAATATACTGCACATTATCTGTATATATATGACTTACTTATGTTCACTAAGAAAACTCAAATTCACAAGAGATCTATTTTCCACAGCTCCTAGAAGTGTGTGCAAAAATCGAAGTTCACGTGCAAAAATAATTTTTCATAACATGCATTGTCAAACTATGCCATTTTAAATACTGGATGAAATTCTCAATTCATGCAAGAAATCTGACATCTAATTCAACTTCATCACCTCACCTAGTAGGTCTGTGTCAGCAGTCTCTTCTCTGACAAAAACTCTCATCTGAACCAAGCCAAATATTTTTAATGACATTATTTATAAAAATTGAAACAAAAAAAATCCATTGTTTTAGCACTGTTCTAATATAAGAAGACTAAATCTTTATAATAAGAGTTCCAGTTTCCAAACTGTGCATTTACTACTACTAATCAAATTATTACCATCATATTAATTTTGACTGAGATGGACAGTGAAAAATTAGGAACATGATGTTTTAAGATTAATATTTAAATAAGATGTGCCCAGTGGTACAGACCAGCTCTATAGCTATACTAGGGTAAAATGAGTGGAAAGAGCTAACCGAGACTTAAACTAAGTTCTTGAAATTTATGTTCCATTTAGTAATGTAATAAAAAAATGTAAATAAATACTGACTAAACCATTCTGCATAAATTCATATATGTGTGTCATTTTTCAGCATTCCATATCAAGTTATCTTTGTGCACTATACAGAGGACAGTCTTAAGAAGTGACTATTTCCATTAACAATATTACAATATTTCCATTAACAATAATACATTTCTCTGATTTGTACTGGTAAAGTGAATAGCCATGAAAACTTTCTGAAAGTGCCATTAATGCTTCACTAAGCTATACAGAGGCAGCTTCCCTTAAGTGAGATTCATTCCTAGCACAAAATTGATTTTGGGTGGAAGTTAGTGTGGGTTCCCCTGTGACTCCTAGCTCAGCATACAGATAAGTAAATTAACAAACCAAATAAAACACCCCACAAACCCAAAGAGCTGGACCTGGTTGTGCCCTCTTAATATCAGGTAGCATGAAAACATCTCAATTGCTCCACAGCACTAGCTATAACTCAGCAAGAGTAAAGTATCGTTATCAGTCCAAAGAACAATCAAACATGAACAGTTATCTCCACAGTCCTCTTGAAGAAGAATGTCCAATTTAAGCAATCCAAAAGCATTTACTCCCATTGGAAGGAAAAGGCTGCCACTAATATTCAGCTTCAGGCTCTTGTAACAATATATCCAGTAAGTACAGTGACATTTTAGCAGAATCTACCAGCTCTCTGCATTACATACTTCCAAAGAATTTCAGGTCTATGTCTAATTGTTTATACACAACTGCATATTATTCCAGTCTGTCTCTTCAAGTTTCAGTTCCCATTCTAGACCAACTGAGTAAGTAGTAATTCTAACATAGTATGACCTCACTGGTATATCACCTTAAGTCATTGATATATCTCTTAATGTAAAAATAAAGCAGAAGACAATTTTAGAATCTTTTTTTTAACTCGATTTTTTCTGTCTTTGAAGAAGACAGTCACAGAAACGTGTTCTCATTGAAAAAGAAAGGTGGCAAAAGTTCATTACAATTTTTACCCCTTCCGTATGAAGGTCTAGGAATATGGCTGAAACTTCCTTTATAAAAGAATTTTCAAAATCATATGGAATTTATAGATTTATTTATTATTTGTTTTCACTTACGGAAGACTTTGAAAAAAATTCCCATCATTTTTCTCAACAGTGGAGAAAATTAAATATCTATTGAGTACTGTCACACATAATAATCATGCCATTTCACACTCATTGGTACCCTCAGAAATGAAACATGAGCTCTGCTGGAGAGTTGTCACCTTGAGAGAAACAAAGACCATTTGCTTACCAAATATAAAAGTACAGAAAAGAACACTATTACTTACCATTGTAAGAGTGAACGGATGGCTTTCCAGAGCAGACACTCTTGGACAGTGGAGAATAACGTACTGAAATAAAATGGTAGAAAGGATACATTCAAAACATTCAGTGATGGGCTAGTACTTATAAAGTGATAGTCATCCCTACAGACCATGTTACATGAAGCAAAGTGACATTTTAGGGGCACATTAACTCACCTGACCAGGCCTTGCTTCAAAGTCATCTTTCATCATCCTGACTTCAAGGACATTGGAGGGGTGGCTTATTACTGAGGTTATTGTGACTGGTTTATTGCTGCGGATGTAGCGGTACAGCCGCTCCACACAGTACAGGCACAGAGGTCCGGAAATCCAGAACCATGTCTAAGGGAGAACAAAAATATATTACCTGAAAGACTTTTAACTTTCTGTTTTCACAACTACATGAGTGCTTTCAGGATCTCACTTCACATCTAACATCCACACCTCTCCCCACGTGCAGAAATCCAAGAATGTTCCAAAGCCTTTATCAGTCTAACCAGCAGCATCACCCACAAGCGCAAGAAATTCCAATCATAAAACTCAGCAGGAAAAAAATGCCAGTGACCTCATTCGCTACCATGTTATTCTGGCTTTACGTAGTTCGATTGCAGCTGGCTTCAGCAATGAAAGAAACAGGACCTACATAGACAAGAGACTATACAATTGGTTGACATTTATGAAAAAATGCTCTCTGAATTATGGTATTATTTAACTGTTACTGTCTTAGAGTCATCTCAGTTCAAGTAAAAACCTCAGAAAGATGCATTCTTGTGCCATAGAAACTGATATTAAACTAGTTTAAAATCATAGACAACAGAGAGGAATGGGCACTTCTGAATCACAATCCATTTGCTCCCATGGAAGAAGTGTATGCTAGACAGAAAATGCCCTGGCAATGCCCATTTCTCTGTACTGATTATTTGGGCAGCCCTGGGTGACTACTCCAGATGGTGACGTTTGCAGCTGCTCAGCTAAACCCCATCGTAAGAGTCTATTACCAATAGCTTATGGCAGACTTATCTACTAATTCCACACCTGCTCAATCATTCCAGCTATGGCACTGAAGCGCCCCTCATCCCTCATCCATCTTCCCTCCCTTCCAAATTTCTGACATTACATATCAACATCTCTTGCAGCTAGCAGAGCATTTACTTTGAACAAAAAAACTGTGCAGGTTTCCGTAGCTCACAGCTATTTTTTGGTTTTTTTTTTTTTTTTTTTAAACTTGATATCACAATATTTCCACATCCAAAAAAGTCCTAAATAGTGTTTCAAAGCTGTCAGGAGAACACTGAGTGGCCATTTCTTTCCATTACTCCTTTCCCATTAATGGCTCTAAAGCAGGCATCTTAAGCCCCTAAGAAGACTCCTTGCAGTCCTGTGGGTCATATGGAGCTAGATATTCAGGAGTATTACCACAACAAAATACCAATCCAAAGAACTTTGTTGGAGGAATTCAGTGTAGAATTAACTGTTTCTCATTAGGATTACATGCTCCACAGAAAAATGGGTTCCCAGTGCATCTAATAAGGAGGACACATGCTCAACAGAAAACAACAATGACAATAATAAAGAGAAACTCCTGTGGGGTCTGTTACGGAACCATCTTGAATGGTGGGCCTTGGACTCATGAACTCCACATTTGCAAGCTTCCTCAGGCTATTCGCCAATACTGCCTAGCTCATCTTCACCCAAAAGAAAAGAGAAAATTTTGTATGAAGAAAAAGCTGCTGCCACAAAACATAAAGAAACAAAAGGAAAATGGAAAACAGAAATAGAAAAGGCTTTTCTGTCCCCACTGTCATCATACTCATTTACCCATGCCACATACAAAACAAGCCTGTCTGCAAACAACAGAGTACAAAAGCCAAACCACAACCAACTGCAACCCAGAAATGAGTATTAAGACTTGCATCCGCATGGTACAAAAGAGAACAAATGGAGCTTGATTATTTCAATTAACTACTGCCACACAATGATTACAAAAGGACCTCACGAAATGTTATATAAATGTTTGCTCTGAAATACTATGCTGTAAAATCACATTTTTAGTGGGATCAATACATCTCTTATGGTGCTGTTCAAAAGAGAACATTACAGCCAATCTCTTGACATTTTTTCATCCTGCTTGTTCTATGCACCACATTGTAATGCATTTCAGGGTTAAATACAGATTGTTTTTTCCCCACCAAATCTTTAAATGCCTCAGAAGGTTTTAATAATATTTTCCATTATTAAAACATCTGGTCTGGAAAAGCAATAATTAGTGGTTATGGCTGACTGAAAGGCTTGGCATGGCTTTTAATACCTGAAATGTCGGATCATACAGACCTCTGGGAAGTGTGACCGGAACTTGGGTTCCTCAGAACAAACTCTCATAAAGCTATTTTGTACAAAGGGTTCTGGTACTGGTAGGTCCTCTGGAACAGGCTCAGTAGTATAGTCAGGAAACAGCTCTTCAAAAGCCTTTGGCACAGTCAGATTCTGTCGGAGTGTTTTGTTAGGATTAAAGCAACCAGGAGGGTGTTCCTCTAAGTTGGTCTGGTACTTGAGCACTCCCCTACAGGAAAACAAAAATAGTAAAGACGCTGAAGTAACAGTAAATAACAAACAACTTATCTTCATTCAGAAAGGACTTCAGAAAGCAGTCACAAGCCTCATCTTCTGTTAGAAATTATATTCCACTTGCCTTCAGGACTTTCAATGAGATTGAAACTTTGCAACAATAGAGCCTTCTGTCACTAGAGGCAAGGTTTAACTTTTCCAGCTCACTTGGCACTCCCCCACTGAACAGCCTCAAGCTTAATACTGCTTGAAAGAGAGAAAATATTGTGGGGGCATTGAAAAAAAATTAAATAATCACATTTCCAATTCAATCACACACAGGTTGTTTTCACTCATCCTCCCTACAGTCAGCAAGCCCTGTTTTTAAGGCAATCCAGTAGCAGAAGTGGCCTAAGTTGCCAATCATAAACTGCAGGAATTTTTCCCACTAGTTGGTGTTTATGAGGTTTGCACACAAATAGATAGAAGGAAAAAAAAAAGCCTTGCATGGTAGCCAAGGAACCTTCCTTGCAAATTATTTTATGAGCTCCATCCTTATTTTATTTTTACTTAAGCTAAGTTAAATTTACAGTAAAATGAAGTGAGGACTTTGAAGCAACAGTTAAAAATTCTGAAGAAAGAATTGGAAACTTAAGACACTCTGGGATATCTCAGCATATGAATGAATCACTGAAAACAAGGAAGAACAGATAATAGTAGTAATAAAATTCCTCAGAAGTACTACTTGTTTCCAAATCTAGATTTGATGACAGTAAAACCACAAGGAAGACTATTAAAAAAAAAAAAAAAAATGCTGAATGACACCTGTAGAGGATGGTGTTGGGTGGGAAATGAGGCATACTGAGACAATGCCTCTGAGTGCTAAGCCTTTTTATGAAGGTTTTCAGCTCAAGTATGCAATCAAACACAAGGACAGCTCCCCCCTCCTCTCCTCAGACACAGAGCAGCAGCAGCAGCAACAGAGTTTGATTCAGAAGAAAGAGAACTAGGACATCCGCAATATTCCCAATCTAAATGGGCTCTGACAGGCTACTGGCAATCTTCCCTACCAAAATGCAGTCCTGACAGCTAGTAACAAGCTTCCTACATGGTCCAGTGAATCATGTCAGCTTGGAAGTTAAGCCTTCTCACTCTTAAATTCCACATCTGACCCTGGGAGAATAATTTGGGAAGTGTCTTTGCACCTACACCCATGCTCTGCCTGCACTCATTGTTCAGTCATGCCTATCTCTTGCATCTGGCATCACTGCTGGTCACCACATATTGGCAAAGTGACAGATACCCCGAGCATTATGCTAGTTCCATGCTCCATAAATATTGTGGTGCCTCATGGATTTAGCTGGAAGTCAAAGCCCATGCAATATTTTTCCAGTGAACTTTGTGTGCATGCCTGCCAGCAACTCCCACAGCTTCTCTGTTCTCAGCACATCCTGAAAGGATTGCCTTGAGAGTAGCTGCAAACATGAGCATCCCCTCCAGTGATCTCTAGTTTATCTAACCTATTACAAACATGCTAACTGAGAGGCACACAGGATCACAAAGCTGCCTGTTAACAGCAGCTCAAAAATTCCCATTTTTGTAGCTGACAAGGAAAAGTAAGTCTTACACACCCAAGATCAGTGCCCAGAAAGGTCGAGTTCTGCACTGAACAAGCAAACCACTAACATGCAGATGAATCACTTAATATGTTGCTGAGAAGCAGTTGGCTGCCCGAAGGATACTGTAAGAACATACCTACAACAGTTTGAAACAAAGTAAGAATCCAGTAACACTGTGGAAATACTTTACTCTTAAGACAGGTAAAACCTCAGTCAACCTGCCTGCACAGTTCAGCCACAGGAGATGCCTTGCTCTGTACAGTAATTGGCTATGTGTCTGCAAATCTCTAACACATCCCACACAGGAGTAATTTGGGCATAGATATCTAAGCTTCCTTTATTCTCAAAAGAGATCACAGAATTGTTTAGGTTGGTAAAGACCTCTAAGATCATAAAGTCCAACCATTAACCCAGAACTGCCATGTTCATCACTAAACTATGTCCCTAAGCATCTACATCTACACATCTCTTAAATATCCCCAGGGATGGTGACTTTATTGCTTCCCTGGGTAGCCTGTTCCAGGGCCTGACAACCCCTTTGGTGAAGAAATTTTTCCTAATGTCCAATCTAAATCACCCCTCATGCAACTTGTGGCCACTTTCTGTTGATCTTATAGATCTTATTAATAGAGACAGGAACCAGTCCAGTTCACCTGAATGTAGATCTCTGAAAGGAACAAATTACATGAAGCATCCTTCAGGCTCCACTAGCTGTATTTATCAGAACTCATTAGACCATAATGGGAAAGACACTGAGAAAACATGTAGAGACCTACATTTAGGCATCTTAAAGTTGAACTGACTCCCACTCTCCATGACTCATTCCTCTCCCACTTCTGATACTCAGTTTTTTTCAGATTTGCACTGAATACCTTTGTAATTCAATACTAAGGAGGCTGTGTAGCAGAATATGCCTGTTTAGGGCTTGCTGTTTAACTGCAGTCTAATTTGCAAACCTGGGAAATGGAACATGGTTAGGAAAACAAAGGGCAAAGCATAATACTGTGAAGGAGATTAATTAAACTGGACATGAAAAATACCCCTAAGGCAATCACTGGAACAGATTGCCTGGGGAGGTTAGAGGATCTCAGACACCAGATGTTTTAAAGATTTGACAAACACCTGTCAAGAATAATTTAGAAAAAGTTCATCTTGGCCTAGGTGGGGAGAACAGGTTAGATCCATCCTCCCCAGCTACAAACAAGTGCTATGCCATTGAAAAAAAACAAACAACCAACCAACCAAAAAAAAACCAACAAAAAAACCCAAACAAACCCCCCAAACAAACAATAACAAAAAAAAAAATCCCCAAAAAAGCTCCAACAAAATCACTGAGAACTGACATTGTTTCCAGAAGTTTCAATTGTTCTGAACTCATCATTTCTCAAACTGCATGTTTTATTCAACAATGTATTCCTACCATGATCTTGCTAGGCCTAATTCCCTTTCCACGTTTACTTTAAACAACAGGGCTCAGTGTCCCACATTCAAATACCCTGTGTTTCAGTAGATATTTGATGATATGGAGAAATAAACCTCATTCAAATACACCTTCCCTTCTCCATACTCTACATCCACAGAGGAAACTTCAGAGATATTAATGGAACAGATTTTTACAGAATCATAGAATAGTTTGGGTTGCAAGGAACCTTTAAAAGTCCAACCCACACAGACATATGTCATAACTTCTGGAAGATGCTTTACCTTGCAACAGATCTCAGTTTGTTTGTGCCTGATACAGATCTGACCATCAGCTTCACGGCACATAAACACTGGTCTGATGTTTGTGAAAAGAAGAAAAACTAGCAAATTTTGTAAGCAAAGAGAAAGAGGCAATTAGGGAGATGCCATTCGTTCCCTCTCATTTGGAGTCAAAAAGAAAGGCAGAAAGGAAGATGCAAGAGATGAGCAACTTTGCATCGTATTCTTGATTCAGCAAACAGGTAAGAGGGGGCAGAAAAACAAACTATGTTTTCTTGATTTCTCACTAGACACTGAGCAATGGAAATAGAAAAGGAATAATCTTGAAAGTGAAAAAGCTTGTGCTAGCTGGCGATAGCACACACAAATCTCCAAGCTACAGCCTGATCTTTATTTAAACACACACCAGAGGACATCTTGTCCCAAAGTTGGCCCACAGTGTTCAAGCAAGCTTGGGAAAGGCATCAATCAAGAAGCAATCACTGCTCTTTCTGGTTGTGCTTCAGGAAAAAGGAACAGTGTTTTCCATTTACTTACCCAGAAACATGCAGCATCAGCAGCATATAGAAGACAAAGAAAAGGTTGTGTGTATACCAGAAGATGTCATAGTTTGAAACCCTGAAAAAAATAAACCATGGTTCAATGCTGTTTCAACTCATATGGAATCACTGCTAAGTAAAAGCAGACCTGTGCACACAGGACATCATTATACACTGCACAGTCATGCAAAATAGCCAAAGCCCAGAATGTACAGGCACACTGTACTTGCACACAACCAAGTGTTGTGAAAAACAAGTGCCTGGCACAGAAGTAACAAGCTGAGAAAGAGAGGTAAAGGGTGTACAGAGCCAGATGGAGAACTCTCCTGAAACTGGGAGACTCGACTGCTTTCACAGGTCCTAGTCAGTCCCCACGAGATCCTTTTAGCTGGAATAGTTCTTCCACCTCCAGTCTCAAAACTCAACCTCCTTACAGTGAGTAAGTGTCACCTTGCCCTTGTCATTCTCCCTGCCCCAATACAGTTTAATGTGTCACTAAGGCGGCAGCACACAAAGAGCAGCATGGACAGCAGCAGAAGGGCCAGAGGAAAGGCTAAAACACTTGTGAGGGTATGGAGTAGGAGGAGATACAGGAAGAAAAGGACCTAGAGCAAGGAGACAACAAGAGCACAGGTAGGAGAATTTTCAGGACAGGAAGCCACATACATTACTACTCCAGGACTGATGGTCTTGGGAGGAACAAGAAGAACATTATCACTGTGAGATCATGAGAGATGAAAAGAGCACTTCTTTTTATCAGTAATTTGTTAGACAATATAAAACCAGACCAAAGAAAATACCTATCTGGAACTGTATTCTGTTAAGCTAATCTGGGGTTTTTTGAGTAAAATAGTTACCAACAAAGCTCAAATGGCCAAGAAAATGCACTACTTCACAGCACACAAACACACCTCTCACAGTACACAGCATGGTAGGAGTCCCCTCTAAAACCAAAAAGCATACCCCCATTCATAAACCAAAACAATTATTAAATAACAAGTATATTTAGCTCTGAGAACATGGTTTAAGAAGCAATTCCTCTAACACAGCTAACTTATTTTTTTTCCAGAATTTTTTCCCTCCTATGGGTTCTACAGCTAACTGCTCTTCCTTCAATACAACTGAAACATATATACTTTTTTTCTGTCAATACAGGACTTGTTTTCTTTTTCAAGAGAGGAGAAATAACTTCAATAACCAAGGGCTACCAAAATAAAATCCAAGCCAGTGAAGTAACAAGGAAGGAAGCAAAGGAGGAAAAAAGGAAGCAAAGGAAGGAATACAGCAACAGCAAGAGGCTCTGAAATCTCCCCTCCACCCTGCCATTCTTCACCCAGTCAGCAGTATGTTAACACTTCTTCCTCCTTGAAGCTGATCAAGCCTTTTCTAACTCTTCACACCCTGTGAGGCATTTCCATGCAGTCACTCATCAGCATCTATGAGTAGCTGTGGGAGTAATCATCAGTAAGAGGAAAGAACAATTTGTGTGGAGTGGAAGCACAATTGGACAGCACAAAGAGTAAAATTTACCCTCTATCTCAAAACCTGTCATAGAATCCTAGAACAGGGATAGAGCAAGGACAGGTCTTGGAGCTCTGGTTTAATTCGGTTTCATGCTACACTGACTCTTGAGCACCTTTTTCAGAATGAACCAATTTTTCAAAATTTCAATGATGAAAAATCAATCCCTGGACTGCTTCTGACATGATGCTTTCAACAGCTAATTATTGTTACTGATTAAAATTACTGTACATTTCTTTCCTGAATACATCTAAATGTCAGCTTCCAGCTCGTTGAGCACTTTATTCTTCTTTCAGCACTCCTACAGATACCTCTGCTATAAAATCCTGGTTCCTCACATGTATCAACTTGCTGTAAATGTGAGCAGGCCCTCTGAACTTCACCTCCTTAAATTATACGGGTATGTAAATCCTTGAACCTCTTACCATGAGGTAAGAGGTACATTTTCCAACACTGTAATCATTATGTATTTCTTACTTGTATCCTTAAACTGTGTACCCTACTGATACAGTATTCTAATATAGTCAGTAATCTTCCTATTGGCACACACTAATTTTTATGGCTCTTCAGAACATTTACTTTTTTTGCCTTCTTACGGCTTAAAATGGACATTATTCACAGCAAGAATGTAGTTCTTAGGACTGCAAAGTCCTGAAAATTTGAGGCAAGCTGAATATTTAATTTTTGTTAATCTACTTTAGAATTTTGAAGATGAAGACCTTCAAGAGTTAATTTACTGAGAAATGTAAGGGGAATTTATCATGCTTTAAAGGGACACACTAAGCAGCACAGTTCTAGAAAAATATTTTTGATCCTGTTACAGACAGTTTTGAAAAGGAAGATATAAGTAGTAGTTTAGAAGCTGAAATTGAAGAGTAGAATGTTTCGTTACAAAAATAGATGGCACTGAAGCACCTTATTTTTTAATGTTCTTTTAAATACACAACCTCCAAATCTTAAACATCATTAAAACTGACAGAAACATCAACATTTATTGACAGGATTTATTGTGATTTCTGATAACTTCATAACCCTACGGAAAACAACTCTTGAACAAAAAAAATGTTGGTCTAATTCTCAGGTATGACACGGCAAAAATTTAAAAAAATTTTCAACTAATAATCACTTTCCCCTTTTAAAACACTACCAGCTAATTCAGTCCTTCTAATACTTATTTGCAGTTTACTGAAAAGGCAGGAAAATAGAGGCATTAAACAATTTCAGGAAGAACACACAAAGGAAGAAATCACTAAGCAGGTCAGTGCGCAAGAGCAGATTAGGGCTGAAATTCAAGACTATAACAGCCTCTGAAATACTTGTTAAAAAGCTCAGTTTCTGATAAGACAGTGAACATTTACAAATAACTTTCCTACAACTGTACTGTATGCTCAGCCATCATAGGGCACATGAGAATCCACAGGGAAAGAGATTGAAAAGGGACAGAAAGATGCATGCAGCAACTTGTTTCCTTAGGAGAAAACATTGTAATAAGGACAAGCTTGAGCCCTATGCCTGAGGGAGAAGCCAGGATAAAATTTCCAAGAATTATTGCTAGGGTAATAGGAGATGCAGATTATCTCTTTTGGGGCTTTGATTCTGCTGGCTAGATGGCAGAAAGCTTATAGTAACTGTGGAAGGAATTAAAAAGCATGTAACTTCAGAAGATGTTGCATGAACCCCAAAATTATTTCCAGGAATGTTTACAACTATATATATATATTTTAAGCTTCCCAATCACTAATTCAGGATGTTTTTCTAATTTAATTTGGCCTTGAAGAAGATAGGACTTTGTTTGACTTTGTTCTGGCTCAGTGTTGCAGAGTACCGCAGTAGTTTTACTCTTCCATCTCCCCGAAACTGTCTTTCTTTTGCAAGTAGAGGGATCTGTGTGGACCACGAAATGTGCAGCCATGTTACATCTGGCACAGCAGCCTAATCCTGCACTGCACTTCTGTAGCAAGCCTCACAAAAGTCTCAGCCCTGGAAGAAGCCTTGTCAACTGAAAATGCACAAGTATTTGTTGAACTATCTTTTCAAATTACAGGATAACATTGCCAGGTAACACAGCTTCTCATGAAAGACAGAGTTCAACAAAGTTCATAACCACATATCTAACTCACATCAGTGGAGCACCATTAAGGTTTGAAGATACATAGTTTACATATCCTTCCATGTTTGCTGAATTGAGGTGATGCACTTACATAGACACACTGTGAATTCAAATTCTGTGAAAATGAGGGGGTTATTTTTATACCATCAATTGCAGAATCCAAGCCTTAAAAAGACTACAACATTGGGCTAGACCTCCCCCCCCCATGGTGCCTATTCACAGGTCCTGTCATATGTGTTCATTAACATTGGTACAGAATGTCAACCCACCAAAGGACCAAACTTTTAGAAAACCCAGCAGCTGCTCTGAGCCAATACTGCATTGCTGTTTGGTATAATTAACGTTAAAAAGAATATATCTGACAACCAGAGGCAGAGCTCTTAAAAGCAACATGTAGAATGTACTTCAGTAGCATAATTTTGTGTCTGTTTGTTTTGTTGCTGATAGTTTGGGGGTTTGTTTCTTTTTTTTTGTTTAGTTTGTGTTTTTTGTTACATTTTTTGTTATAATTTATTGTTACAATTAATTGGTGAAAATAAATAAGATAACAATAATACCTTATTTTTCTTCCACTGGACTTAATTTATGTACTGGACAGAACTTCCCATTTGCTGAGTTTACTGCCTCCCCTACAACCAGGAATAAATGAACTATTTAAATTTTTAAAGGTTCACATTTTTAACTCAGCACACTCATTAAATAGTATTTTTTCAGAAGGCAACTCTATCAGGTCTTGTAAGTGTTTTCATACAAAATTCCCTGTGCTGATTTTATTGCAAGCTAGGAAAAAAACAGGACAAGAAAACTGGTATTTTTAATACTTTAGTCAGGAGAAGAATATGATTGTGGAAATGGCATTTTTCAGCATAATGATCAGATAACATCTTACCTGATGGCATACGTGGAAGCTGTACACATTAGGAATAATACTAACACCATAATGACTCCAGTCAGACCTGGAACTAAAAGGGACATAACTTACATTTGAACTGTGAAGAGGTATACTTGTCTACTATGACCTTTAAATAAAGTGGAATTAGACATACAAATCATGATTCAATCAAACTCTTGAATATAATTTTCTCTTGAGGACAACTCATATACCAAACCAGATAGGAAAGAGGAGTTCTTGTATAATTTCCCACCTTCCCAAAGAAAAATACCTTTTTCCTTGCATTCACCATGCATCCCAATTTCCTATTTGTCTTGCTCCTGTCATCTCTTGCTTGTGACATCTGTGTCTAAGCAAGTAACTAAGAACAAACACAGTTTACTTGCAAGACTGACTGTACACGATTCTGTCTCTTTTTTATTCCAAACACTACACTCTGTTGATCATGACAATTAAAAACCTGCTCAGGGACAGAATTTCAAGCAAATGAATTGCTATGCAAGCTGTCACTACAATTTTTTGCCAGCCCATTTCATTCTGGAATGAGGAAGAGCCTGAAATTACTCTCCATGGCATTGTATTACGCTTGAAATTGTTGCCCATAGAGCAAGGTCTGTGAGAGTGATCTGCAGCCAGCACTTGAGAAGGAAAGGTTAAAAATATTAACGATTGGACTCATCTGCTCAAATGAAGACTTGTATCAGAACTAGTTTATCCTCAGGTATTTTTTAAGTCGAAGGAGAGATAATCTCAAATCTTATCTTTTTATAAACTTCTCAATACCCACTCATTGAAAAGTCTGATATCCAAATCTTACACACCACACCTCACTCAGTTTTTACAGCCCTACAACCAATGGAAGCTTTGTCATGGACTGCATAAAAAAACCTTATTTCACTCCTTCATGAAAAGATTGCAATTAAAATCAGTTGCAATAAAAAAATATGCATTCTGTCCACTGCCTGCTTCCTAATTTCTTTTTTCTCAATCTGATTTGATGTGTAGTGTGCAATGAATCTCAACTCTGAACAAATACCTCAAATGCAATTGCAGTACAGCACTTGATTCAGCTGCCTACACTGTCACTCAAGCCAGAGGTCACCTTCTATGTCCAGTTTTTCAATTATCTTCTCCATCAAAATGAAATCACTCATAGTCTTGCCCCAGTTTATCAGTTCATTTTTAGTGTTTCCTCTCCGCCCTGTCCCTGACTCTCCTTTCCTTCTCTAAGTATAATCTTGAGTACTTGTTCCTCCCACAGTCTGCCTCACACCCTTATACAAGAAGGTTCTTTCCTGGACTAATCTAAAAAGCCGTCATCACTCTATAAATCATTCTGATTCCTTATTCCTTCTGTTTGCTGTTCTGAACTATCTGGGAAGAAACTAGGGATTTTTTGCTTATTTGCACAGCTCCCAGTGCAGCAAAATCTTGGTCCCTGTCTGGGCACTCCTTCAGCACAAACAGTACATGTTAATTACCAGTCATTAGGACAGGGAGTGAACAGAGTAATTTTAAATTTAGGATAACTCTGACCTCAGTTTTTGTCAGTTCACTTTCTCCCTTCCTCTACTCTCAAGTGATCTAAACCTTCCCTAGGGTTTTTGGGAAACACTGGTGTGCCAACTGTTAATTCCAGCACACCTATTGGGATTGACAAACCTAGAATCATCGCTGTGTGTTCATAGATTTGATTTGACTGTGCCCTAAATGCTGCCAAGTCAGGATTTTTGTGTTTGATCCAAATAAGGGAGAAAGGGTGATGGCATCAGGAAGGAACTTTATCTGCTCATGAAGCGCTACAGCTCAGCCTGCCCCTCCATACCCAAACATTGCCCCCTTCTAAATTCCTGCACCAAAATTGTCTTTGTCTATTTATTCTGAATGAGTGCTGAAGCTAATTCTCATGTAACAGTTTAGATTGCTCAGAAACCCAACCAGCCCTTAAATAAACCAGCTGAGGCAAAAAAGACTAGTTTTCTGTTATGTTTCTTTTTCTAGAAATTGGATCATTTAGGACTTTGGCTTTAATATTAGGGAGAATCTCTGTTTGAAACTAATGGAATTCTGCTGACTCATCTGTACAACAACAGATTTGAAGATGTTGCTCATCCTACTACTGGGCTTATGTAACTCCTGCCTCCTGGATAAGCAAACCCAGGTTATATTAACACAAAGAACACAACTCCAGATAGCTGATACAACAAATGGAGCATGCCAATACAGGAACAAAAGAAGTCTTGTCTGCACAGTGACCATGATAAGCAGAAAAATTTTCTCATTCAGTTTTGCAGGACTTACCAGTTGCAAAAAGTAGTTTCCTTGGGTCCTGAAAAAGCAAAAACAAATAAAACCAATGTAAGATATTTTGTATCTATAATATGAATAATTTTAAAATAGTAAGTAGCCCCTGAAGCTCACACATTTTAAGATACATGCAGTCCCTAAATCTGGAAGCAGGAATGGATTCAGTAACAGTTTACATTGACTTTAATTCAACAGAAACTAAACCTTTAGCCTTTGCATTCCCCCAGCAAAGATAGTTCTGATCTATAATCTGGATTCATATAATTTTACAGATAATTGTTTTTTGAAAGCTTAACTTTACTTAGTTACCTCATCCCTTTGGGAGGACAGAGTGTAGCAGAAGAGGGAGGTTTTGAATTTAAATGTAAGATTGCCAGCTACATCACCAAGACCTTTCCAGTGGACCCTAGTGAAGCAAGACTGAAAACAAAGGATCTGACAGATGCTCCTGTGTCCTTCACCACATGTGAAAGGAAGAGTGGATATTTCAACATCAGGAAAACCGGTTTGCTTCCCCAGATCCTATACTTCAAGATATTTTGTCTTCACTGCTTGGAAAACTCTTACTTAAACCTGCAGTAAAATGTAGTGAGGGGACACGAAAAGTTTTCATACAGGTCAGGAAAAATGAAGTGTCCTTTTTCTGACCTTGTCTGCATCCAGATGTGTGTACCCAGGTAGAGAAGACGAGAATAGCATCCAGACTGTCCACCACAGTTTCAAAAGGGATATAAGTAGGATTTGGATTCAAGTACAAAAGTGCAAGAGCTACTAAGGTACCTAAAATTCAGGAATTTTGATCTTAGAGTTCCTAAAAAACTTGCCCTTGTCTCCGTTTTCTATTGCAAAATTCCTAAGGCTGTTTAGAAGAGGCTTAGAACCCTGGCACTATCTTGCCTGAGGCAAGCCCTGCTGATGTTCCTGATGAAGGGAAGTCTATCAGACCACTCCTAACACAAGCAGACACACAGTTCAACCCAGAAGCTCAGCACAATAGTTGGTGTTGGCATGTCTGTCTGCCATTGAATAGCTCAGTGATTAGATCATTCACCCAGGGAGTGGAAGATCTTGGTTGCTGGTCCTTATGAGCCTGGACTGAGCCAAGCTCTCTTTTTCCAGCAAACGATGCAGCTGTGATAGGGTCATTCTAAATATTTCCTAATGAAACTGATAGAAAATAAATGCAGACCAGACACTAGAATGAACACAAACAAGTGAGAACTTGACTGTAGCCCAAGAAGAAAGGGTGCTGGACTCTGGTCTTGATTCTAAAATCTGCAAATATCTCTCCAGTGCCAAATACACAAGTAAGCACCTGGCCAAGGGACTAGGAATCTGATACTCCTGCAAGAGATCTGCACCACAGTCAGACAAGGCACACAGATCAAGTATTTCACAAGTAGAAATTAGTTTATGTTGACAACTAATTCCATGCTTGCATATATACTCATATATGCATTCACTGCAGCTGAAAAATGCAAAATCAGTTCCAAATCTCACTGTATTGTAAATAGTGGAAATGCAGAACAAATTTTCCCAAAAAGCAGCAGAAATGTGTTTACCAAGCCCACACAAGGAACAGAGGGAAGCAGAAGAGAAGCAAGAGAACAAGGTGCAAGGTGAAAAATTTTGATGATTGCATTCTCCATCTAATAATCAAACAGGACTGAACCTTGCTGGCTTTAATATATGCTTTGTCCAGAGAAATAAATAAAATCCACAGGAATACACATGATGGTGAGTTTTCAGCGCACAAAACAGGAGCACTGTGTAGATCACACAATGGCACTGAATACACAAATATTCATATATTTAAATTATATGCTTAATACCAACATATGAAAGGAAAGCTGGCTCACCTCACCACGATAGTTTGCTGCATTTAGGGTCACAAATTCTTCATTGTAGTTCTCAGAGAAGTTAAGAGCATTCACCAGATGAGCAGCAACATGTAAGACTAAAAAAACCCAAAAAACTGAGTAAAACTGAGGATCTGTAAACAAATGATGTATATTCCCTGTGGCCACCCAGGTGCCAAGATATAATCACATCACCTGCATGAGATATACCAGGGACTAAGGAATTCTTAATTATTTTTCAAGAGTAAATCAGCTTACAAATATCAATGACAGAAAGCTGTATGTATTTTAGGATTTTTTTTTTTAACACTAGAGCAATGATTTCCGTACTGCAATGCTTCAGCTGAGAGACAACATTCAAAGGTGTCCAGCCAAGAGTATTTCTTCTTCACCAAACTGGGTAGTTGTCTCTGCTGTTCCCTCCTCTGCAGGTAAGCCCTGCTTTTTCACTCACATTCCTCAGGCACAATGAGGGTTCACTTCAAATAGCAGATTTTGACCTGATCTCACATACCTGTCTTCTAAGAAACTGGCATTTTAAGGAAAGGCTTGACACTAGAATGTATTCCCATGTGTTTAAAGCAAAAAAATGAATCAAAACCCACACACATTCGAGAAAGAATTTACAATTTAAGACAAGCAAGCACAGAGCAAGACTACCCCCAAATGTACTGCAGCAGAAAAACCTCAAAATACTGCATCAACATGCTTCCGAAACATGCTGCTGCTGAGCACAGTAAGATCTCACCTGAAAAGATGCATATTGTAACACCACACGTCACATGGAAAGTTTTACTTTTATCTAGCAGCCTTCTGGTTTTCTTGCTGGCAACCTAGTAAGAGAAGAATACAAGCATTCTCTTCCAAAACAAAGCAAAGAAAAAAATATGAACAGCAACTGTGGTGATATAATAGTAGCTTCAGTTTTTACTCAGTTTAACCCCTTTGCAAGCATAGTATCTAAATTTAAAAACTACTGGATTATGGCAAGGAGACAATTTTGAGGACTTAAAGAAGAAATTACACAGATGTCAAGAGTATATAATGTACCCCCTGGCCTTAATATTTAGGAAATCCAGCATTGTGAAGGCATCACTGACTCATTTATAAGCAAGATCAAAAGGAATGGTGTATTTCCATACATATGTGCATCTATAGGCATCTAAAATATTCTAGGTATTGTCACATGATTAACAGAACTCACAGGTTCAATTTGCAAGCACCTAGCAAACACAAATATTCCTCAAAAGCGTTATTTATGTTTCTGTAAAAGCAACTGGCAAATCACAAAGAAGCTAAACCACTGTTTCTCCCATGATAACAAATTTATCAGGTTGGGTATTTTTATAGAAAGTTCTATCACCTCCAGTAGGATACTTTTAGAGACAATGTTTGGCTCAGTTGAACTCTACCAGGAAGCGCAAGAGAGGACACATATATCTCTAATATAAGAGTTTGGAAAGACAGAGGTTACAGCTCCAGCTCCACAACTCTCCATCCCTCAAAAATGCCCTAAAGAAACCACCCTCTCAACAGGTCAAATCAAAACAGACAATGCCTGTCTTTAAAGGAGTCATGAATCTAAACTGAATGTCTGATACTTGCACCATGCAAGCACATAGTGTAGAACAAACAGGGATGCAACAGACTGTTTTCTATAATTTTTATATTAAGCAGAGACCAGGGCCCTCTTCCCAAGCGCAGCATTCCGAGGACAGTACTTACCTTCTGGGATCCGCGCAGGAAGGCCAAGAGAACACGGCACATCGGGAGCAGGACGAGGCAGCAGTTGAAATTGAGGACAGATGCCGAAGCTCTGCTAACACACAATCCTAGCTGAACAAACATTGCAAGAGTTAGATTACAGGGAGAAAGGAATGGTATGTGTGTCAGTACTGCTTCACTTTTTCTTTGCTGTGAAACCAAATGGTTCCCATGCTCCCTGACACATCAGAACAGTGGAGATTCATGATGTTTTACTGTACTGGAGAAACTACGGTACCAGCGTGCTACCCTGACCTCACAGGGAAGGAAACAGATATCATCTTTGCATCAAGAAGTTATGAAAAATTAGTTTTGTCAGCAATAAATGACAGCTTTCTACCAAAAGACTTATATCCTCATCAGTGCCCAAAGTCACATGGAACAAAACATCTGAGACAACAGTTAGGGTCCACTGAGAAACCACCTGAAAGCTTCAACAGACATAACTATATAAGAAAAACACTATAAACAAATATATATTACCATGACAGTAGACAGCCACTGGAGTGTAACGATTTTTTCTTAAGCCACAAAAAGATGTAAAAAAATATTGATTCAGTCAAACTGAAATGGTCATAGTGTTTCAAGGACTGTTAAAGAATTCATCCATTCACATTAAAAAATGCCATATTTGGACAAAAAGAAAGTAGGTTTTCATCAGTTGAATTGCTCAATAACTAGAACTGTAATGAAATCTAATTTCACTAATGCGTTCACTGATATATTTGGAACTTACATAATTAGAACAAAAACACTTGTCAAATAAATGAACAAAGCACACATTCATGTCATAAACTTGAATTTCTAATCTCATTATATTATCTCATTCATTTATGATTTTTAAAAGTTAGCAAAATGCCATTGTTCTCCTAGTTATTAGGTTGAATTACCATTTTACTAGCTTATATAAAAGATGCTTTTAGACTGTCAACAGATTTCTGGAAGGCTATTTCTTACACTGTTCTCAAAACCCCAAGTATTTCAACTCCTGAATAAATTAGTAAAAAAGTATTATAATATTAAAGATAGCTCAAATAATGCACAAGAATGTGAATGAGTTGAACAGGTACAAATTATCTAATAAAAATTACTTAAGATTTATTACCTTTCTAAAATGAAACTCTATGTAAAAAACTGAGCATGTGTTACTTTCTCAGACAAAAAGAATTAATCTGTGAAACATTTATCATATTCTTATCTTTGTTATCACTAAGAAATAAAATTTACAGACTTATGTTTGTGTCACAGAAATGGATGAAAATATAAGCTAGTAAAAGCAAACCAAATACTGCACTTCAGAATATCTTGCAAGATCTCAAGCGCAACAATATGAAAAGGTTTCTAAATACCAGTACCATAAAATATTACAACTGCCTGCTCTCACAGTTAGCAACATCCATGTACCTCACTTGCTCTGCAGCATACCTGGGCACAGCACCAGGAGGCAAACAGAAGGTAATGTTCAATCTACCTGAAGAACCAAGCTCTGCACTTAAAACCTTTTTTCTCTTCCAGCTACTTTACATTTTTAGTTAGACCTGACTGCTAGGGACCTCCTCACCAGACCCTACCACCTTCCACAGAACAGAGCAGTCACAAGTGCACTCTTCTTCAAAAGCTGTCCATGAGAAGTAGGAGCAATTACCCACAAAATGTGCTCTACCTTGTTCTCTACCATGCAAATGTCATGCAAAATGTCAGCCAAAATCCCAGCAACAGATCATCTCCAACCTACTGAATGATAGAAAATAAGACTAAAATGAGCCACATCACTTAGTTCTTTCCCACTCTCCAGATGTCCTCTACTATTTCTTCCAATGTACTGTTAGTCTTCTACCTTACATAAAACCTCCCTTCTATTTCATCTGTTACTTCACTCTGATCACTTGCACAATGAGAATTTTTCTTGCTACTCCTTCCTCATAAGCCATGTTCTTCAGACCTCAGGCCATCCTCTCCTCCCTACTCTGGACCCTTCCAACTGGAAGTGACCCCTTGGAACAGACTGGACTTAATGAAAAGAAAAATGTCTCTATAATGTACTGTTTGCATATACAACACTGTCATTATTTTCATTAAATCCTCAAAAGAGAAGCCAAAAATGAGCTATACACCTCATTGAAGCAGTAACTTCAGAAACATGGTCATTAAAACATAAGAATTTTTATTGGGGCTTACTGGTGTGCTACACTACTGCAGTGATTAAATGGGCATGACTTGAAAAACTCAAGAATTATGTAGAAATAATGTTATGCAAATTCCAGAAGTGAATAATTTTTGTATCTGTTGACTAATATCCAAAATCTGAAAAAGTTGCAATATCATTAATAAGCAGTTTGAAAATTTTAATAACTTTTGTTGTATGACCAATGTGATACATCATTAGTTTCTCAAGAATTTATGTTGTCTTTGAGTTTAAACATAAACTAGGCATGACATCAGTTATTCAAGACTTCCTTTACCAAGGACAACAATTTTTCTTACAAAGAGTCAACAAAACAATAGTTTGGTCTGGAAGAGAATCAATTCCACACTGTATGGTGTTAAATAAATTAAGTAACTCCTGTTGAAGTTCAAGAAGCATTTGGACAACACTATCAGGCACATGGTATCAGGCACATGTCTTGGGATGCCCTACCAGGAGTTGGATTGATGGGTCCCTTCCAGCTCAGCATATTCTGTGATTCCAAGTAAAATGCCGAACAACTGAAGAAGTATGAATCACCAATGATGCGTAGAAAAAGGCTGTTCTACAAACCTTCCTTTGTTTTTCTCCACTATTTAACAAACAGCAAATATCCATTCACAATGCAATTACTATGGAAGAATGTCCTTACATTCATTATAATTCAATGGTATCAACACCTGTACCTAGATGAAAAAAAAAGAAAAAAAAGAAACCAGCAAACAACTACTTAACTATGGTACTTCCAAGAAAATATGATTCAAAATATTAAAATATAGTTACCAATGGCTCATGTAAGGTTTTATCCTGAAGAAATAAGGTTCAACAATATCTCCTGCAACAAGCCCATGACTGATTTGCAAACAATGGTAAATACATTTGGAAATTCTTAGAACCAAAATTCATGCAAGAAGAAAAAGAGTTTAAGTTTGCTCTTAATATATGTACAAAAGCTAAAAATATTACCATGAAACTAATTCTTTCCAAATGGTTTCCAAGAGATCTCTTTCTTAACTTCCTTTGCATTGCCTGGGAGGCATAGTAACAAATTAACACAGTACATTGTTGGATTTTTAAACAATAATAGAATAAAGGATGATTTTTGCTCCAAGGCAACTCACTGGGCCTAGAAGGGAATATATATCCTTATTAAGTAATTTAGAAATGAGAGAAATATAATCCTATTTTCTTCCTGAAGTTTTTACTGTCCTAAAAAAAAAAATAAAAAAGTTACTGCATGTTACTAGCACGTGAAATTTCTGCAGGATCAAAAAGAAAAAAAAAAACAACATACAAAATATCTGCACGATGCTGTTTTATCCCGCTTTGCTGATTCTAAATCCAAGCATTTGACCACCTCTTTCCATAATCTGCCTACCTGGTACAACATACACTGGTATCTGATTTCATGGAGGAGCAAAGAGGCATAGAAAAACTAAAGGATTACTCAAATTTACAGACTAAATCTGTGGCAAATATAGGAGGGAACTGGACCATCCACAAACTCACATCCTAAAAACTAGGTTAGACTCTTCTTCCAGACAAGTATAAAGGAATTGCCACCTTCTCCAAAGCATCATAAAGAGCTCCAGAATGCAAGTTCTCCAGTTATCCCTGTCTGATGTACAATCCCACAGAAATCCAGATGGACTCCTGGCTGTGCTCACACAACATACAAAGTAGGACAGAGAAGCGAAGAGTCGCTTCTCGTTGTGTCTTGCCGTCAGCGAGAATGAAAATGAGAAAATGAGCTTCCTCTGTTAGGAAAAGGAGCTTTTTCTGTTAGGCAGATGATCTCAGTAATAGATTGAGGGCTGAAGTACCTTACAGTGTACCCCAAAATTCCCCGAAGTTCATCAGTTATAAATACAGAGATGAATGTTACCTGCAACTGCTATGCACAGAAATCTGGTATTTGATACATGCCTGAAAAATGAAGATTTTAATGAATACTGTCATATCTCACCTTTTAATTCAATCTTGAATCAAAAAAAAATGTTAGAATAATGCAAAGCCTTCCACACCTGAGAGTGATGTGATTCAATTTCTCAAGACTTCACTACCTACAAGTAATAAACCTAAACAGGTCATGGTGCAACAGAGACATCACACTTGATGCTGTCTCTTAGAGTCTTGCTTTAAATTTTTTCACTCTTCTTTGGTTCAGGGCACCATGAAAGGTTCTGGCAAGACTAACAAGCCACATGCTGCTCTGTAGACACCTGTCACAGACCACCTCCCCAGATCAGTACTTGAGCAGCTAAAGTCAGTTGTTTTCCTAGGTGGAACAAACTGTGCTACACAACATGCCTCCTTTTGACCCAGCCTCCTTTTCTTCATGGAGTACTCCTTCTCTCGAGTAACAGAGCACTGATAATCTAAGATGTAGGACAGAACTGAACTGTATGCACAGCAATTATTCCCCTTAGGCCTGTCAAATCTGGCTGGAGATCTAGCAACAAAGATACATATTGAAGCAGCTGAAAAGAAGGAAAATGTGAGTGTAGGGGAAACCTACCAGAACCTGTGAAAATTGCTACAAAAGTGTGGCTTGTTTTTATTCCTGAAGAAGGAAGGTTTCAAAGAAGGACTCTGTAAATCCCAATCTCATGTACTGCAGCCCTTCAAAGATTATATTAAGTGGTGCAATATTTTTAATATGTATGGGCCATCTACCCTGCACTGCTGAGAATCAGTATCCTTCCTGTTCACTTATAACTCTCAACACAGGCATTCTTTGAAGATTTTCCATCTCTTCTCGTCTAAATGCTCCCGTTTTATACGCAGTGCCTTTGTGTAGGATGTACTCCTCCTTCTGCTTAAATCAGTCATTCAAATTGAAGAAAGCACCTAACTTAATCTTGAGTACAGTAATAACTTCCAACTTCTCTGATAATCTCCAAGCAAAGGATCAAGATACACAACACCTTCCAACACAAAGACATCGGGGGGTAAGCAGGTTGCAGTGTAGTTGTGTAACAACCAATGAAAGTGGAATTTGGTCTCAATTAGTAAAATCTCTGTCGTTATGATAAACTAGCAAGGAGAGACATGAAAGCTACTGGAACATCTGGAACATATTCCAAGGTGACAAATGCTATGCACTATACTGCACACTAAGAAGGCAGAAACTATACAGATAAAAAAAGAGAAGCAGCACTTTTTCTTTTCAGCCCCATTTTCAGTTATCCAGTCTTTTCCCAAAGAGATCCTTCTGACAATGCATTTTCTTCACTTTGGTCTGAAACACAGAAGCTTATCTCTTTCATTAACATTTGACTACATTACAGTTATTTGAGCAGGGACAAGAGAGGGAATGGGGAGAGACCCTTCATGGCATGGCAAAATGATCTCAAAGCTCTTTCTGCTCACAGGGGACTCAAACAACAAGAAACAAGCATTTCATTCTATGCTGTTAAAGTGAGACTTGAGTTCTAGAAGGCAAATTCCAAGTTCATGACTGATTTTTTTTGATCAGGCACAATCAAACTTGTTGGATAAAAATACAGAGAGAAATCCTGAAGTCTGTGAAGAAATCAATCTGGACAATTTCACTGACTGAGCAGACCAAAATCTCTAATAATGAAGATTTTGGAGTCAAGTAATTTAAGACTCTCCCTTTCTGTAACTCATACCTACTGCACACTACAAAACCTGTCATGAACACAAAGATGAGAATATTCCTTTACTCTTTGCCAAACTCTTTTATAAGAAATTCAGGTCTGTTGGGGATTTCTTCACAGGCTTCTCTTCCTTAAGCAATATAAGACCACAAGTTAACATCTATCAATTCATTTAAAAAAATGAGAATTTTTATCTGAATTGTGTTTTTGAACCAGTGTCAATGAATGCATTCATACTGTAAGACTATGACCTACAGAGTTACAAGCAATTCAGTATCCAAAGGGATGGTTCATCAAAGCAAAAGTACTGGAAAGGGATTTATATTCACTAGGTTCTGGTGAACTTTCACTGCAAGTTTTATGTAGCCACAGAATTATTCTGGTTGGAAGAGACCTCAGGATGTCTCTGTTCAAACCCCGTGTTATAAATATGTTCAACAGAAAACTCAGATTAAGTTTGGTCAGGGCTTTTTGCCCAATTAGGTTTTGAAAACTCCCAGGGATAGGGATTGCCCAGTAAAGAGTTTGTGGCTTCATCAGCAGAAGTCAAACTGAGTGAAGCAGAGATATTTGACACAAAATAACACTAAGTTTCCTGGTACATAAAAGGTTGATCAACCTCCTCCTACCACACTACCGCCTTCTACTTATTTGTTCTTTGCACTTCCAGTACACCACCATGATTTTAGTGCCTGTTTACAGGTGTAGAATTAAGGAACAGAAAGATTGTCATTGAAAGACTGAGTGAGAGTTAGATACCTAAACAATTTTTAAATCCTGTCCTAAAGTATGTTGTTCAATATCACAGAGAATGCAATTAGAAAAGAATAAATCTGAGCCTTGTTCTTCTGTAGACAGCTGAAGGGAAGTAAATCACTTCAGTGAGCACTGAATGAAAGACCAACCCCATTCTTTCTCCTTCTTCACATCAGACAGGAGATGTGCATGAAAACATGGCACAGTTGAATATACTCAGAATATTCAGTCCAAGATCTCATTTCATATCACACTCTAATTTCCAAAAGCAACTCCTCTTGTTCTCCATTCTGTTACTTGGTAAACAACAAAATTACCTGTGGTAAATCTTTCCATGCTGCAACTGCAGAAGTTCTTAAGGCAATTATAGCCTATTGTAGCATACTAAGAAAGAAAAAAAGCCAACTCCTTAGGAGACCTCACTGAAAAAAACAGAAACTTTTTGAACTCAAAAAGTGCCACTTCTTTTAGGCAACTTTGTTAGCTCTCTGGAAAATGGAATCAGTTGTCATGGAGGTATACATTAAATAGTTCCATCTGTTAAGACAAAAAATATAATCTGTTGAATAATAAACAAAGAATTTAAATCTCAAAACCTTTAGACACCAAGAAATGGTGCAGAGGCTCTGCAAACCACTCACACATGCATAGAACAGAGAAGAATGTTACTTAGATGGGCCATGGGTCAGTGGCTGTACAAGCCAATAGAGAAAAAGAAGAGGGGCAAGAAGTCCCTGTGGAAGGCAACTGCAGCTGTAGCATTGCTTATGTCATCTCCTGAAAAAACCAAATTGGGTTCAGTTTTCCTGACCCTTGCAAAATAATCTCGATGATTAATATGCACACACAGATATAATGAAGAGAAAGGATAAAGCTAACTTTGGGTTCTACTGAAAATATTTAGATTAACTGTAAAATGTGAATTCCAAGTACAGTCTTTAGTATTTTCAAAATGTTAAAATTAGTTTAATAACTTTGACCAAAAGTGTCTTTTAGACTTAGCTCTTCATTTTTAACCTGATTTTAGAAGTCCCTAAATTCTGTGGTATTTTTTCCCACAGTGGCAGACATGATTAACAAACTCAAAAGCACGACTTCTAGTCCTCACGTCCTGACCAAGACAAGGAATCTGTTGCCCGAGTCATCTCACTGGTTCTGAACACATATTAAGTGACTTTGCAAGTGTCTTCCATTTTGAAGTATGAGAAAACCAAAAAAGATCCCAACCAGATGATGAGCTGGTATGAGGTAGACGAGTCATCTGAATTGAATCTGGTCCAACAAGTTACCCAAGAACATTCGCTTTACAAACAAACCATTTGCTCCACCAGGAACAAACACAGTTTTCAAATGGATACACTGGGCTGCAAAGCCACTAGAAATTAAGGTAAAATTAAACATGTTTTCATGCTTTTTCTGTCAAGAAAGTCACCACCCTGAAGGATCTAATTATTGCTATTCCCTTCTTTACACGTTATCTTTGCTAAGATTCATTCTTGAACACATCTGAATCAACCATAAGGAGAAAGGTAAAAAAGGAGAAAACTGTATCAACTCAACTTATTTCCAAGCAAGATAACAAAACCTTATGGTACTGGCTAGTTATGACAATATCAGCTATGTGAAACTATATACCCTGGATTTACCAAAAATAAACCCCAGAGGCTCTACAGCAGATTAGAACATACATCATCTGTGTTTAATCCATGTCAACTTTCTATTGAAATCCATTCCTGAGTATGACATAGTGTTACAAAGCACCATGTTATTCAGCCACTTTTTCCCAGATTGTCAAATTCTGAGCAACCCATGGGCATTTTTCAGAAAGATGTTAACTCACTCTGTGCCATTTTAGACAGAAGTTTTTTCTCAAATTACTACAATGGGTAACTTCCCAAAGCAGGCTGGTATCTTACTTCTCCAAAGTATCTTTTTGGGTTCATCTGTTGATTGTGGGTATTGCCCTTACTAAATCAAAATACCTGAATCTTCATTAAACCATCCAGAATTTACTATTAGAAAACAAAACTAAAGTTACATGAATTACAGTGTATTTACACAGAACAGGGTATCCATGAGAATGATAAAGACTGAAAAGAACTAAGACTTATTAAAAAGCAAGCATGTATATGACAATAACTGAACTGGAAAGAATTTGCCAACATGAGTCCATAGCTTGCTTAATGTGCTGATGACAAAAAGTGGAGCTTCAGTCATTTGTTGAGCACGTCTGTGTTCCTGTGAGCCTGTCTACTGCTGGGAACATCAGGAGGGGAGAGAGGAGGAAAAAGAATAGCTGTCCCACACTTTACTAGCTCTTTTTCTTCTCAACAGTGTTCACTTTCTATTCTCAAATGACTGTAAGAAGTATACCAGTAATTTCTTACTTGATCTTTCTCCACTTTGAAAAGTTAACAGGCAGTTTGTGTCATCTTTGATTAGTAAATGCATTCTGCCCCTTATCCCATCCTAAAGCATCCCAATTTCCAGGGCAAAAAGTGATGTCCAGGTCACTCACCCCTAACATCTGATGCAAATAATAATACTGTAGCCCTTGATTATAAAGCAGGAAGGTTTTCCCGAAGAGCCATACATTGACGGAGAGCCAGAAAAACTGAAATGAAACAGAAACAAGAGATTTTAAGTGGAAGTTACATGTGAAAACTTTTCTGGGTTCACTTCATTCATAAAACTCACAGGTCTGTAGTTTCATAAACATATGTAATGAAATGGAAAAACAAACTCCATGTGCACAGTATGTTTTAAAGTGTTAAAAGGAAGTGCCCCTGTGTGGGCAATTTTCACTTTTATTGAACTTCACAAAACTTTTTGTGTCTTACGACAACCAAGAGCTGGCAAAGCACCCCCATACAAGACTCCGTCCCAAATCTTTAGCTGGATGTTGCATTTAAGAGCCTCAAAGAATAAAAAACAACAAAGAGACAAAGGAAGAAAGAACTCGACTTCCAAGAAGTTGCATCTTCTCCCCGAAACTTTCCCAAAGACAGTCTAACAAAGAGCAAGAACACATGCACGGCGTGTGCGAGCCCGGCAGGGCACGGGCACCGTCCCGGGCCGTGGCACCCGCCGGCATCCATCCCCGCCAGCCGCGCACCGGGACGCGCACGGAGCACATCCCGCCCGCCCTTCCGAGCCCGGCACCCGCCCGGCGCCCTGCCCGGCACGCCGGGACCCCTGCCCCGCACTCCGGGAAAAGTTGCCCCGGCCGCCCCGACCCGCGGGGCAGCCCCCGGGCCGGCCCCCGCCGCCTGCCAGCACCCACCGGCCCCGCCTGAGCCTCCTCCGCGGGTCAGCCCCGCCGAGGGGACCCCCCCGGGGCCGCCCCTACCAGGAAGAGGTGTTTGCTCCCCTCGTTGGCCAGCCAGCTCCTCCAGGACAGCGCCATGGTGCGGGACGCCCGCGGAGCAGGACCGAGGGTGGGGGGCGCCGGGCGAGCCCTCCTTTTCAGCCGGGCCGAGCCGCCCTCCCCTCTCCCCACCCCTCACCCCCCGCCCTGTCTTCCGGCCGCCGGGGCGTAGCGCTCCGGCCCCGCCGCGCCGCCGGCCAGCCCCCGGCTCCGTCCCGCCGGCGCTGCCCCTTTGTCCGCGGCCGAGCGCCCCGGGACCCGCAGCGCAGCCGCCCGGGGCACGGCGGGGTCGGGGGGACATCCCCGGAGGGCAGCGTGTCCTGCCCCGCCGCGCTGCGGTGCGGCCGATTCCTCGCATCCCCCGCCCTGGGGAGAGCGTTTTCCCTCAGAGAATCCCGTCCGGGGGGATCCCACTTGCCCGATCCCCCCCATCCCCGCCCTGGCTGAAATGTGATACAAGAAAGCTGGAGGGAGCGGGGGAGCAGTCGTGCATGCAACTGCTCTGCAGTTCGGGTGAAACAAAGAGGCTGTCCAAGAAACTACTGTTCGGGTACTACGTGAGGCCCTCGAAAGCCGGGAAGGGACAGGCTGTGTTATTTTTTTGAAGTCTGATCCTGCTCCATCAGGTGTCCCTGGAGGACGCTGGAAGAGGCCGCCTCCTGTGTGCCGGCACAGCGGGTGTGCAGTGGAACGGCAGCCAAGAAAAAGGGGCTATGGGCAATTCCACATCCAGCGTCCAGAGTCTGGGTTGCAGCGCTTTGTCGGCAGTCTGCTTTTACTGGTGGTCTTCGTGTTTAACTCGGGTTTGAGGAGGGTGGGGTTTGAGGGAAAGTTGCAACTGATACTGATTTTTATATTAAGAAAAATCTTTTTTAAAAATGCTTGTTGCTAGCAGCTTTCAAACAGGACAGCCTTGTGAGTCTGCAGAGCAGTTCCACCAGGCATTGTGCGCACCTTGGTCCTTGAGATAGCAGCAGTGGTTGCAGCCGGCAGCAGAGCAAGGCTGGTTTTCTGGGAGATGCCAAGTCCAAGGAGCAGTGATGAGTAGTCTCATCCAGTCCAGTTTGAGCTGGCTGTCTTTCTCTTACTATCTGAAAAGCTGTCTTATGAAAGTGTCCTTGTGAGCCACACACCAAGGGTCCAGAGAAGAATGGAAGGGGGCAATTTGCCATCCTTCTGCAGTTTGTGTAAAGGTGGAGGGAATGTCTGACCCAGGTATGGTCCTGGGAATAAAGAGTACAAGTAAGGCATGGCACTTTTGAAACTCAGTTGAGGTTATTTTTGCTGCAACAGGAGCTCCATCTCAACAAGTGGCAGGATTTCTGTGACTGTATGAAGTTTTAGGTGAAGCTTTGAGATAGCAGGATTACATCCATTTTATGTCATCTAATGGCCCTAAAAGGAAAACTAGTGAAAGGGAAAATATATATTTTGAATTTAAGACTCAATAGAACCATAGTTGGATGCCAAAGCAGCCCTAACAGCAGAAGAAATAGTACACTTTATTTATCTTCTTTGCTATTTCCATTCACTTCCTTGCTTCTGTTGTAAAGCTAAGGAAAATGGAAACTGCTTACAGAGAAGTAGATGACAAATCTTCTCTGGACAAGCATGTCAAAGTTGGAATTGCACAAGATAGAACTTGTAGGACATGTCAGGCCTAATAACATGGGGTCTTGGCCAAAACTGAAGCCGAGGAGACACAAACAAAACCAAAATACTTTGCCTGTGCTATATTTGCCCATTAGAAATGGCTCCGAAAAATCAGCTTATGCAGGATTTGACTGCCCACTCACTCGAAGCTGATGACTCATGAGCCAGCACTTCACTGCCTACTTACAAAGTGCCATAAGGCATGTGGAGCACATGACTCATGCTTGTCCACATTGGATTCTACATCATATCTAGGTACAGAGCAAGGAATGTGTTTTTGTGGAAAACATCCCTATTTTCCTTCTCCCTGGAAACAGCCAAGGGCTTTGAATCATTAGCAAAAGAAGAGTCTGGCAAAGACCAGTGCCACACTAATACATCCACATTCTTCCTCCACAGAAAAGGCTAATTTTCAGTTTTAAGCCATCCCAGATGTATATGAATGTGTGTTTTAAGCTTAAGAGTGCTCATAAATGACCATAGATGATAGTTATAATCCAAATAATTAGAAAAGTTATAGTATGATTCTCAAAGCATTGAGTTCATCTCTGCTTACGACAGTCTCTCTCTGCTTCATCCTCTGGTTATGACAGTCTTTGTGCTTTGTCCTAACAACCGGACAGAGCAGTGCCAAGATAGGCAGCCCCTCTGTAGTCACTTTGTGTGGCCAGGTGTTGGTAGTGAGGGGGCCTACAGGGGTGTCTTCTGTGAGAAGCTGCTGGAAGTTTCCTTCGTGTCCGGCAGAGCTAATCCCAGGAGGCAAGATGTGCCACTGTCCAAGGCTGGGCCAATCAGAAATGGAGGTAATGACTGTGCTAACATATTGAAGAAGAAGAAAAAAAAAAGTTGATTTGCACGTGTAATTGGGACCAGAAAAGAGCAGGATGAGAATATGTGAGAGGAACAGCCCTGCAGACCTAAGGTCAGTGCAGAAGGAGGGGCAGGAGGTGCTCCAGGCACCGGAGCTGAGATTCCCCTGCGGCCCCTGGTTCAGCCCATGGGGAGGCAGCTGTGCCCCTGCAGCCCATGGAGGTACAGGGTGGAGCAGAGATCCACCTGCAGCCCCTGGAGGAGGCCCATGCTGGAGCAGATGGATGCCTGAGAGGAGGTTGTGAACCCATGAAAGACCCATGATGGAGCAGTCTCCTGGTGGGGACCTGCAGACCCACGGAGAGAGGAGCCCATGCTGGGGCAGGTTTCCTGGTAGGACTTGTAACCTCATGGGGGACCCACACTGGAGCAGCCTGTCCTTGAAGGAGTGCACCACATGGAAGAGTAACCCATACTGTAGCAGTTTGTGGAGAACTGTTGCTGGTGGGATGGTTGCTTCTCACTGGAGAAATTAATGGAGAAATGTCTGTCATGGGAGGGACCCCATGCTGGAGCAGGGGAAGGACTCCTCTGCCTGAATAGAGAGATAATGACCATAACCTCCTTCCCCTATTTCCCTATGCTGCTGGAGATAGCGCTGGGAAGGAGGGAGGGATGAGAGGAAGGTGTTTTTAAAATCTTGTTTTATTTTTCATTATCCTGCTCTGATTTTGTGAGTAATAAATTCATTTAATAACCCCTATTCCAGTCTGTTTTGCCTGTGACGGTATTTGGTGAGTGATCTCTCACAGTTCTTATCTCTAGCCATGAACCCTTTTGTTTTATTTTCACTCCCCTCTCCAGTTGTAGAGAGGAGTGATAGAGAGGCTTTGGTGGGTGCCTGGGATCCAGCCACAGACAACCTGCTACACTGTCCTAGAGACTGAACATACAGTTTCTCTGATAATATTTCTTCTACTGCATCAGCGAAGTCGCCCTGACTGCACAGTCAACTTCCAGGCCTACTTCCCATCAACATCCTGTGCACTCAGATTTACTCTTCTGAAGTGTATTTGGGTACTTTACAAACACTTTGCTGAATGTTGTAGTCAATTTTACAGACATGGTTTATACCTTTTCTTGTGCTGGAATTCTGCTCGTGTACCTGAGAGTGATCAAGAGTCAAATCACCTAAACTCCCAAGTATCTCCATCTGTCAGCGTGTCATGACCATCCTGCAAGTTCCTGCAGTGATGCTGTGTATTGTGAGCAGAACGCTCCATCCTTCCAGTCTGAGGAGCGATTCAGGCACCTCATCTTCTGCTCTGCTGCAGTCTGGATTTAGGCAGATAGGCCCTTAAATTCTACATGCATCCCTAAGGGGGTTTGTCCCCTATGCCTTCTCGGAATATTTACCCTTAGCACTGAGATCATGGGAGGAAAAGAAAATGATGGCACTAACTTCATCACAGAGAACAGGAAAACTGCAGATTCTGCATAACAGCTGAGTGATTACAGCACTTGCCCAGTAGTGGGAGAGCTGGATCTTTCTTAAAGAGCTGAAGCCATTGCTTTCATATCCTAGGAAAGTTTTCTAACCATTGCTTTTCACTGGGGTCAAAGAAGGAAACAATCGCCAAGTGAGCCACTGTGCTGCCAGGAAGGCAAGAGAAAGAGGTCAGAGAGAAAATCAGAAAGCAATGCTGGCCAAGTGGTAACAGCACACTAAGGAAGAGAGAAGATCATCTAGGAAGAGGAGACTTGGAATGCCAGTTCATTTATTGTTTCCACTGGAAGTAAAAATGCAGAACAAATTTCAAAATTCAACATGTTTATGAGAAAACTGAAATCACAGGAGAAACCAGAAACAGAAAGATTTTCCTACAAATGAACTTGTATTTCTTGGAAGCTTTCTCTTTAAACTTAAGCTACATGCTGTTTACTTTTATCATTTTTGCTTTAACTCTAGCATTCAGTCACAACATAAGGGTAAAATAGCAAAGTGTATGTCACTATGAGGATCTGTGCCATGTGAGTAATATCCTGTGTGATGGCATATGGCTTTTATGGCATTACATGTTGTATCATTTCTTTCCCTTTTTGAAACTGGATCTTTACATTTGTTGCATACCACAAGATCAGCTTGCTTTCTAGTATGCTCCATGATGGACTTGGAGGCCTCCCTACAGTGAAATTCTTCTCCAGGTTTGGGTGGCTGCCAAGTTTATCAATTTCCATGAAGCCACAGTGATTCATGGTAATGCATTAATTACTGCTGCTGTAGTGTCTAGGAGTATTAGGGATGTCCCAGGCCCACAATTTACCTTATCAGAAAGGTGACATTTATGTCCAAGGGCTTCCAATGAAAAGTCAGACAACAGCAGATGGAGTTCTGATCCTCAGTTCTTGTAGACATGGCAAATCGGGCAGCAAGGTATGAGTTCTCTGGTGGCATTAGCAGGCTGTGTTCTGCTTCCAGTGAACTCTCCTAAACCAAGATGTTCAGCCACTGCTCAACTCCATCCTACAAATTCAAAAATATGAGGGGAAGTCCCACAGTATTTTTTTCTCAAATAACCCTCTGCACATTCCTGATTC